CTTAACTGACAGTAATTCGTAAGACCTCGCACGTAGATGCAATGGAAGACGCGAATCACGTGTGTGACTGTGGCCGGCCTTTCATGTCATTGCGGACGATGAACTCGCACCGAGCGCGGGCATGTCCCTCCACTGTGGAAGAGAGGAGCATGACAGAAGAGATAGTTAAGGAGGTCAACGGCGGACCATCGAATAGTGGTGCCATTGACCTGGTCAGTGGGGAAAGCCAGGAGGTTGAGCCCCCTCCTGATGTACAAGCTGACTGCGCATCCGAAGAACAGCAAGAAGAACACGCAGAGGCATTCGACAGCTCCCGCAAACTAGCGGCATTGATTTTCTCGTCTAGAGGCGGTGTGGGCATGTCCCAAACTGACATTGACTGTCTGTTGTCACTCCTCAAAAATCCTAGGTTTGACCGAGAGATATCGCATTTCGTAACAGTCGTGAGTGTCTCATATGGGCAGGCCGCCAGGCTGAAGCTGCAGGGTGGCAAGAGAAGAATCTATGCAGTGATGATTGGCCCGAACAAGCGCATGTCATTTTGTGGTACCGCGACTGGCGCACAACGTTCGCTGACCTCGTGCGTGCTGCACTGAACAACGTTGAAACGGTGTCTTGCCTCGAAATACAACATCCCGGGGAGGACATCGAAATCTGCGACTCTCGCACGGGGCAGTTGAGTCACCATGTCCAAATTGTTATCAGAGCGGACAAGGGTGTGGACACGAATGCTAGAACACGTTATGTCATCCCTCTGTCTTTGTATTCAGACAAGACTCATGTAGACGATCGTTAAAAGCAGACAGCGTATCCTCTGATGATGTCAATCGCCCATCGCCCATCAGATGCCACACTGCTTGTGTATCTTCCAGTGCTTCAACACCGGCCACGTGACAAGGGCTGGGGTCCGCACTCCACCGCGTTTAGAAAACGGAAAACTGTGATATTGCATGAAGCGTTGTCAACAGTATTGCAGTCCGCAAAGGAGGCATCCCATGATGTCATGATGGTAACAACGGAGCGGTTCGGTGAGATAACAGTGCACCCTTTCGTCATGAACTATATACAGGACTATCCTGAAAGGTGTGCCCTTGCAACTGTGAAATTTGGTGTTTGTCCAACATGCACAGTGTCCAAAGACGATTTGGATGTCATCGCCGATTTCACCAACTGCAGGAGATCGCAGACGCTAGAGACGCAACTTGCCGCGGACTACTTCAACAGTGGGGACAACGACATTCGTTGTGCTGGTGAGGCACGAATGTCAAAATTGGACATGCATAAGCATGTTCAAGACAACGGCCTATGGGGATTCTACAGGGGTCCGCATGGTGACGATCCTGAACTAGATTACCATCTCGCTTTGCAACCGGACCGTATGCACACCATTGAACACGATATTTTTTTGCAAATGATAGATGCATTCAAGGCAGCTGCTTATAAGAAGTTGCCAGATACCGCGCAAAGCGAGATATTGCACGAGATGAATGCGAGGTTGCAGAGCATCAGGTAGAGATCCACACGGACATACCCGTAGCTTGTATTCCCGTAGCCACATATTGTGATTTCTTTTCAACGGAAGGACGATTTGAAGCGAAGCAAAATCGGTCTGTTATGACAGTTTGCGTGTTTATTATTTGTGATATCATCCCAAGTGCGACAGGCAAATCCATTTCCGCTTGTTTCATCAAACTCATGGAAATGTACATACACGTGTTTTGTAAGTCAACCCACACAACGTTCTCTCTCGATGTTTGTGACACATTGATAGGTGATTTCATAACTAGTATAAAAATGAAGATGGGAAAATATCAAACCTCTGATTGGAAAATTACGAAGTTGCATGACCTTATACATTTGAGAACAAGCATAGAGCGATCTGGTGTTCCCGACACGTTCGCAGCTGATGTGTGGGAGCATAATCATCAGAGGTTCTGCAAACAGCCATATTTGTCATCAAACAAGCGTAAGGCTGCTTCCCAGATGGTGAATCATGTCCGACGCTCATTGACTTTGCAGGATGAGATGAAGAGTGTGAGAAAAGGTAGGAAGAGGTCGGCAGAAAATTGGTCATCCGTGATAGAGTGCATGGCCACCGGAAGTAATACCTTGGCAGCGGGCGACACAGCAACTCTACAACTCCGGTGGTTCCAGATGGACGATGTGCATTTGCCAGGCGTAGAGGGTATGAGCGATGCGGCATTGAGAATACTTAATGAGCTTCCCCGCAGAGAGGATTTTCGAGCTGCACTTACGACGTTCATGACAGAGATGGGTTGTCAACCTCCATCTGATGACCAAGTCATACACACTCGAACACACTTGACTATCGCCTGCACATACGACGGGACGCTCAGGGGCGCAAGCGTTCAGACGGCAAGAGCTTCACCACAGTTCCACGAGAGAGTCGTGCACAGCGATGTTGCAGTGAGAGGTGGCAATGACAACATATGGTATGTATCAGTAGCCATGTTTTTCGTCATGAACGCTTGCACAGGTGGTGTTGCGGAGATGCACAAGTGTTGTTTCGTGCAATGGTACAAAAAGGTGGATAGCAAAAGGGAACACACAACAGATTGTAAGAAGTTGCAATGGGAGAAGGTGAATGGTCATCAGCATAGTAGCGTCATAACGATTGATACCATCATTGACACCATTCACATTGTTCCTCGTTTTTGTCAGCCACAGTGGGGCTCGAACAAACATGAAAAAGAAAGGGAGGACAATTTTTTGTTGAATAGATATGTACTCTAGAAGTGTACAGGGAATTACTCATTGTGAAAAAAACAAAAATTAAAAGGTTGATCGTTTTTCCGAGAACAATAAGTGGTGGGCGCAGTTGCAATGTTATATTACAACATGCACTCAACTTTTGTTTTTCTTTTACAGAGAGAGAGAGAGAGAGAGAGAGAGAGAGAGAGAAGCGTTTGAACAACAATAGTCATTTGGTAAAGATGGAGTCCGAACATCGGTAGATTTTTCGAGCGCGAAGCCTGCATTTCATACCACTGTTGCATAGCTTCTGTGTCATCTTACACAACAATGTAGAGAAAGGTGCATCAAACCAGTGTGTATGACGAAGGTAACTTCAGAGTTGACTACTGCGTGCACATGTATGGCGAACGTGGACTTAAAAAGTAGGAGGTGGCACGCACTAGTCAACCCATGTCTATACTTGCCATGTTACTGACGAGATGTGGTTCATGGCCATGTGACTGCCATGTGCACAGGAAAGGTTGAGGTTGAGGTAACGCCACAATAACAATCTGCACTGGAAGAAATGGCAAGACAACAAGCCGAAAAATAAGCGTATTGAGGAATTGCTGAGAAGCCGATTTAGATTGACACTGCCATCAATTGACACATCTGTTGTACGACGGAGAATAAGGGTTGTTCAGATGAGCCAGTTTGACAAAATCCACGAGGGGGTAGATGGCAACGGTTGTATCATGGGCTCCAAAGCGACGGACAGTTCAGAAACAGCAAGGAATGACGAACACTCATGTGGACCAACAGTCACCGAACCGTTGCTCCCATTGAGCAGTGAGAGATCAGTGAATCGATGGAAGAGGATACAGGAGGACCCTTGGTATGCGGAAATGTATCATATAATGACCACAGATGACGCCCAATATCCTCAGATGGTGCATGAACCTTTGTTCAATATTGCAGGAGGCAATCGGTCGACGGGTATGACTGCAGAGGCTGGAAAGAGACCCAAGAGGGTGGACGAGGAACACTTGTTCCCGTTCACGTGGAAATCAAGAAGACACGCCCTATCGATAACAAAACGGGACGTATTGCGATTGGGTGCCAAGCAGTGGCTGAACGATAACGTGATCGATATGTACTTACAGTCCGTCTACGACGAACATTTTCCAGACGGAGACAATATGACACTTCATGTTTGCACATCTTTCTGGCACCCCGCAGTCATCGTCAATCAGAAGGTTTATGTCGCGAAAGCGGGATGGCAGGGGCGGATTAAGAGTACATCGCCAAAGCTGCGTCGAATAAGCGATGAACTGCAAACAACAAGTGTTGTTCTCATCCCTGTGAATCACGAAAACCATTGAAAATTGCTCTTGCTACTGAATGTCGGTCAGTTTTTGACAGTTACGGATGACAACGAAGGCCAGAAACGACCTGTTGCATCGATTCCTTTCAACATAGCGGCCGACAGGAATGGAAGGCGTTGCGCACATTTTTGTGGTATGAATACCTCAGCGAGGCAGACAAAGCAGGGGTGTTGACTCCCGAGACAGTGGACACGTCGTGGGTGACATGGAGAGATCAATTTGGATCTAAGATAGTGTACGCTGAATGTTCGCAACAGACCAATACGTCGGACTGTGGTGTTTACGTTTGTTGCGTGGCAGCTTAATTGATGCGAAAGCTAGCAAAACTGAGTAAGCAAACGAACATTACCGCAAAATATATAACAGAAGTTGTTAGCGCGATGGAGGTTGACGACCAAACGGTCGTCATATTTCGTCAGTCAATGGTACAGCGCTTTGCGCAGTGTGCTGTCGAGGCAAAAGGATATAACACCGCAGCAACATGTGACATAGAAAATGTTTTCAGAGATCTCTTAGACGGAACACGGAGTGGATGTTCGTAAATACGAGCGCATGATGGAAACCGTTAGATCAGGAAACACGAAGTTGACAACCGCGTGCAAATATACAGAACTCACACGTCGTAGAGAAGCCAATCAGCACGCAGTAGCCAAATTTTGCGCTCAGTCGATGGATGAATGCGTGATGTAATAAAGAAAAAAAAATTGTCTTTCGTGTCATAACGGCAAAAAAACTCTCTCTCTCTCTCTCTCTCTCTCTCTCTCTCTCTCTCTCTCTCTCTCTCTCTGCGTGTGAAAATCTCGCCTGGGGTGGTGGATGACAAATGGTCGTTGTATAATATAAAATCATTCCATGTCTAACGTGAGTGTTTGTGAATTCATGCATGTCAGAGACTTTTAATAAGCGTGAAGAGAATGGCTCTGGAGCCAAGGTACAAGGATCTGTGCAAGACCTTGAAGTCCATAGGGGGGAGAGAGAAGGGGGAGAGGACAGCAAAGAAAGGCCAGAAGACTGTCAAGCAAAGACATACCATCAGGGATATTCTCCGATTCAAGAGACGGGAGACGAACATAGTCTGTAGAACAGAAGTTGTGCTCTCTGTTCCGCCGAGAAAAAAGCAGAGTGGGAAACTGCTCGCACACAACAAGGTACCTGCCGCGACTCCCTTGCTGCGGAAGGGACACGGGAACCTCGAGAGGCAGCCTTCGACAGCGCCACAAAAGAAAAGACGAGAAGAAAAACACAGAGTCAACAACTGAGGACAAAGAAAAGAATAATATACAGAAAAGATAGGAGTCCTGAAGCAATCGACCTCAGAGGGTCATACAATTTACGAACCACAGCTCAGGAGGAAGACGAAGAGGAAAACTGTGCGGAAGAAACGTCAGAAGAAGTAGAACACGAGAGAATGCAAGAACGAGGAGAAGGTGACAACAGTGACGGTCACCATGATCTCGATGCAGAGGAGAGCGATCCGGAGGGAGAAGAGGCAGAGGGAGAGGACAGATCCGATGAGGGCGGAGAGGCGGAGGAAGGCAACAGTGAAGACGAAGAAAGAGAGATTGCATTTGCTGAGAACAGTGCACAATGCGGAACTGATGAGAAAAAAGGAGGCGCACCGGAGACTTCATCGAACGACAAGCAAATTGTGGAGAGGGAGAATGCACCGCTACAGGGTAAGATGAAGGGCGCCTTATAAAGACACCACTATTTATGCACAATACAGTCATTGTTGCATGCCGCAGAAACGACGAGGTTCACGGGGGGGGAGGGGGGGGGGGGAGGGGGAGGGGGCCGTTGGGAGGGCCTCTTTATGAGAGGTGTTACGAAGTGTATTCGGAGGACGGTATGGCAGGGGAGTTCACGGTCTTATGTTTGTTTGTGATTGCATCAACATAGAACACGTATCGCAGAGGGTCTTCTTATTTCTAAATCAATAATTTGTTGTTATTTTTGTATTTTTTTCCCAGATTGCATCACTTTGCGTAGGCGAAGCAGCACCGGTGGAGGCAATGCTAGCGAACCAACAGAGCAACAAACCGGGGGTTTTACAAAGAAAATGAAAGACAGACTGTTTCGTTCGGTGACAAAGGCCTTTGCTTTTTCTGCAGCAAAGGATGTCACGCTGTACCCAACGGAGGATATTTTTTTCACGGCACTGCAAACAACTGCGAAATCGATAGGAGAAGATGTGGAGGAAGGACTACGGTTGCACGTGGCAACGTACGGAATCCGAGCAGTGATCGTGGAATGCAATCGGATTATGACAACGGTCTGCGGCGAGATATCTTGGCAATTGAGACATTGGTTTTGGGCCGAAAAAGGTCTGCCGCTGGTCCGGTCGGCTTAAACGGACCACCAGCTTCCGACTCGCAACAGGATGCGGGCAGAGATGACAGGGAACACAACATGGAAAAGGAGCGGCAATGATCCACGGGGCGCACCTCCTTTCAAGACGGCACTGACAAAAGTTTTTCAAATGAGAAGGGATGGCATCAACCTCGGTGTAACGTTGCAGCAACTTGCATTTGCGGAACTGGTACTGAAAACTGAAGTCGAACAGACGACAAAGACCAGCAAGGCAGCGGACCAAATACAAAAACTTTCAACTATCAAAAAAAAGATTGCTGCGTCGCTCCGCTCCCGAGACACCGTTTTAAGCTTTTCTGTCTTCAAGCTCGACCATACTGTTTTTGTTGCAGAGAAGGCCGTCGCATTGTACAGAGCCGAGTTGCCTGCTGTACGGAGGGGAGACGCCAATAACATGACTATAACAGATGATGATTTTGAACTTGAGTTCATTGCGCCCACCGATGACAAACGTGCGGGCGGAGAGAGAAACGAAGAAAGTTTGTGCGCAAGGCCGTGAAAAGGAGAAGAAGGGGTCCGGAGGTAGATGGACGGGGGTTGGGGGTGGAACATAGGGAGCAGACAGTGGCAACGGTGTTGTAGGGGACATGAGTTGCACCTCCACTCACAGTCAGTGGCATGACACCAAGCCCATGAGGACCAAAATGTAAATTATAAGAGAGAGAGAGAGAGAGAGAGAGAGAGAGAGAGAGAGAGAGAGAGAGACAGGGATACAGTTGTTATCTAAAAACAAAAGACTCTGGAGAACCCTTAGGGCTGAGTGTACAATAAGCAAACATGTTTTATTTAATGAATGGTTTTTGTACAAGTCCTGTCGTGGATGTGTTTCGAACCATCACGTGGCATTTGCGTCTCGCATCTCTCATTACTCACCATCAATTTATTGTTTACATGGTTGCTTGTCTTGCAAGGATACGCTCTGCGTCATGTGTAATGTGGCCCAAAATATGTCAGCGTTTCATTACGCAAAAACACGAATCATTTGGTTCGTTTGCAGAAAACGCATTACAGACTCCCAAAAATGTTTAATATGATGTCTTGAAGCAGTATTGAGAAGACACTAAAAAACATGTTCATCTTAATACAAGGCGAGAAGTACATGAGTGGTTGACTACTGCATGCCATGTTCTTGTCGTGCATGTGAGTGATGCTGGAAATTGGCACCCGGTAGCCAACCTGCGTTTCAATATCGTTTTGACACCCCTGTGGACATTTGCCTTTGCAGCTGCATTCAAGGTTCACACAAGCTACATAGACCCCCGAATAATATAAATAGCAACAGGGCAAGTTTTCTGCCATCATCAGTACGGGAGGGAGAATGACTCTCTCTCACTCTCTCTCTCTCTCTCTCTCTCTCTCTCTCTCTTTCTCTCTCTCTCTCTCTCAGACGCTATCTCTCTCTCTCTCTCGCTCTCTCTCTCTCTCTCTCTCTCCCTCTCTCTCTCTCTTACTCTCTCACACTCTCTCTCTCTCTCATATCATTTAAACAACATTTAAACAACGTTTCATCACATTTAAACAACATTTCAACACATTTAAACAACTTGTAAACAACATTACAACAACTTATAAACAGCTTATCAACAATTTTTCATCAATTGAAAAAATGTTTAACACAGTGTCACATGTTTATGACATATGTTATCAACTTTGAGTTCCTTCGCTTTTGGTGGAACACATGACACTACATTCAGCAAACTATTCATTAACACGAAACCAACAGTTTAAAAAGGGTGCCCGCATATGATAAACCGCCAAAAAAAAAACCCACAATTTTTCTGTTGTCGATCATTCTACGGTTGAGAGCAGCAGGTAGCCCGCGGCATACCGTGTACGTGCCCGCAGGATTGGGCATCATACAGTCTGCCTTGGCTATTGGGCTGCAGCATCAGTTGCTGAGCCTGCTATGGACTGTTGCGGTGCTGGAAGTATGGCTGCTTAGCACCAAGTGACTGCAATCAGATTACAAGGAACGAAAGTGTAGCGTAAGGGGTGAAGGCAAGGCTGGCGAATCAGGCAATTGCCGCGAAGTAAAGGTCCGTCAAGAGAGTGAGGTCGGCGGGTTGACTTCAGGTTGACCGAGCGTTTACTGTTTGGCCACCATTGCGGGGCCCTCAGGCGATCCAAGATATCAAGGCCCTCTCCTTGTGAGTCTGAGAGCACCCTTCTAAGATCTGAGAGTCTAAAAACTTCCTCTCTCTATCTTTCTTACTCTAAGTCTAGTCTGGTTCTGAGAGGAAGGCGGCAGGCGGGATTGCAACCCATGGACCGCATCAAGACTCTGTGGGGAGTCCGCCCACCGATTGCGGGAGCTCTGCCGGAGCCTAGGCGAGGCTCTGGAGACAGGGAATTGACAGGTAACCTTTGCATTCCCCTCTATACACCCACTCTATAGCCTCTATTTGTATTACCTGATGCATCTTTGACTGAATATATGACGTGCAACCTTACTTTATTTTTTGTTTGACTTTCAGGACACTAAACAATACTAAGTAAGGAATGTCTGCTCAAGTCTCAGTTTCAACTTTTGTCGGTTGTATGAAGTCAGACTGTTGAAAAGAACTGCATCTGGGGGAAAGGCAGGATGAATGTATGATTTGCATGATGTTTGACGGACCGTTAAGGCTGGGGAGTCCCCATAAGTTTGGGGAACCCCAGTGCTTTGTTTTATTTTGGTTTTGCATGGAGAAGTCAGACCCTTCTATAAATTTAGGGGGTCTGGTTACTCTGAAGGCTGGGATGTCCCCATAAGTTTGGGGAGACCCAGTGATATGGTTTGCATGGAGGGTCAGGCTGTTCTGTAAGTTCAGKWGGCCTGATTGCTCTGACCAGCGAAGGGTTTGATTGTGCTTGATTTTTCAAGGACTAAGGGCGCTCAATAAGTTTTGGTRTCTTGGGTTGCTTTGTTTTTATTGGGATTTTACTTGTTTCTTTRGTTTTGGAACGAGGAGTTGAGTTGTTCTGTAAGTTCARRTGACTMAGTCTCTTCCTGCTCTTTATTCTGAAGAATTAATYTTGGYAAAGAGGCAGACCCTTCTGTAAGTTCAGGGGGTTTGACTCGATGCCACAMACATAATGCCTCAGATAGAAACGAATCGGGCAGAGAGTTAAGACCCTTCTGTAAGTTCARGGGGTCTGGCTCAAAGCCTCKCACATGCTGGAACCCAATRGTTATAACTTGGATATACTTCATTACTACTCTATCTAAGAACGAGCTAATCAGACTRTTCTATAAGTTTAGGTGGTCTGATTATAGCCGTATCACAACTTGAAGAGAGTACARCTAATARTAGAATTGATGGTGAACTGGGGCAGGCTGAACTTAAGTTAGTTCAGTCATATGCAGCCTTAGAAGGCAAAGGTAAAGATAAGTATATATAACTTGGATACTTTAAACAGTCCAGGGCGACTAGAGTGGTCTAGTCATGTGCTCAAAGAAGAGAAAAGTAGTTGTGCCCTCTGTTTGTGTATATTTGGTCAAGTCAGAACGCTCTATAAGTTTAGGTATTCTAACTCTAGGCCTGGCTAAATTGAGCTGTTCTGTAAGTTCAGGCAGCCTGACCTATGCCTTATGTAAGCCGGGTATAAAGGGTTAAATCGTTGAGAGATCATGAACAATTGTTTGTCCAGGTTGACTTAAGGATGGTGAGAGTACTTACCCTTGTGGTTTGGCCTGCATGTGACTGAGTGAGGCTACTACTTAGTCTGAGTTTCAGTTTGATAGGTAGTTGCTTTAGTCGCTCGCCACGTGCTAGAGCCATGGAAGTTAGTTTCAATTCCTGCATTTTCTGAGCTAAGTTTTTTTTTACTTACGTCAATTCTCACATTTTCTGGGATCTTTTCTTATACTTGGCTTTGTATAAATTTTGGCAGGCCACTTTCTCTACGGGAAGCGCTGCTGAAATTTCTACAAACCCAAAGAGTTAGTCAAATCTTGTCTTGTCCAAACTTGACCTGTCTTTCAGATTTAGTAAAAACATCGGAAGCCTCCCTTTTTAAAGGGAGTGCTGCCCAAATTTTTGCTAATTCAGGGAGTTATTCAAAAGTTTGGCTTGTCAAAGCTTGATTTGTCTTTTCATTATATCTGGCCTAGTAAAAATCTGGAAAGCCTCCTTTTCGAAAGGGAGTGCTGCCCGAATTTTTACTAATTCGGGGAGTTAGTCAAATTTTCGACTTCTCAAAAGTTCAACTTGTCTAGATTTCATATATGGCTTAGTAAAATTCGGGGAAGCCTCTTTTTTTAAAGGGAGTGCTGCCCAAAATTTTGCTAATTTAGGGGGTTAGACAAAATTGGACTTTGGAGAGTCAAGGGTTATTTCTGATTTCATATTTTGGCTTATATAAATTCTCAAAGGGCACTTTTCCTACGGGAAGTGTTGCCGAAAATTTTCCCTGTTTTTAAAGGAGTTAAATTATTTTCGACAGATAGCGCTAGACGGTGTTATAGGGAGGTGTGCTATGGAGGTTTACTCCCCATATGCTGATGATTTAGCCCGGGCATTTGACCTATCTTATGTTACAGGTCCTTTGGGTTGTCTGATGCAAGGTCAGGACGAGATTCAGCTTGATCCCTTGAGGATCATTATTTGTTATCATTGMTAACAGGTCGTTTGCTGATCCGTCGGTTAACGACTCAATTTCGACTCACCCTCCACACTCAACCTAAAAGGCTTTAGCCCTGGTGATTTTTATTGTTTCATTAAGGTTTCACTCGGACTTTTATTGAATGAMYATTTAACAAAGGTACTRAGTATTTARTTAAGGTGTGGTTGGAYAGGARGTTGGGGCTTGCATGGCTAAAGCAAGGGGTATGAGTGTTGAAGATGGTTGGGGTTGACTCCGTGTAGWGCRTRGGCTGTTGATTGACTCRTTGATGTGATTCKCAGGTATGTGCTATGAATCAGATTCTGGATGTGGTTGYCTGCKATCACGTAYATACGTATGGCTGTGAGGGACCCCAATRAGACTGTGAGAAGTGATCGTCACATACTTTCCCYTGTTATATATGCATATATATGAGTATACTTGGGATGAATACTTGCATTGGCTAAACGGCCCCCGTACTAAAAAGGCCTGCTCAGGGGTTGAGACTAAAAGGCCTAAGGAAGACCCTTCCTTTTATTGGTTTTACTTCTTAAGGATTTTTTCTTAGTCGGACGTTGGTCCTGGGCCGGGATTCGAGGTCCTTGTCCACGACATCCCAAGCCCTAGGCTCTGCAGGGAAGGGGTTTTCCCTCGCGCAGAGCCTATTTGCCTTGCCTACGGAAACGCTCAGACCAAAGGCCGAAGGTCTCGTGGCGGCTGCACGGCTATTCCTTCAGCCGTGCAATGTCGTGAAGGATCAGACCCTCACGACACTTCGAGTCTGACACTTGAGTGTCATAAGCGGTGCTCCGTTCCACTAGGGACCGCTTGATTATGGACACTACATAGTACGCCATCGTTGACTGCATGGGTACGCCTGCGTAGCGGGGTGGTATGAGATAGGCCCTCGACTGCGCGACTTTTTATTAAAATCCGGCGTGAGACGTTTAACCGCCCTAATGTGTAAAAAGTTAAGGGACTATAAAGGGACTGACACATATGGGCGAATGTTTGAGATTGCTATAGGCCGCCAACGCCACGCGATAAAGAGATTGTACCCCAGGGCCATGATTTTGTTTACTAGGCAGGGAACCTTCGGCCTATTCCTTATCTTTTGCTCTTTGGAGTTTTTATAGTTGGACATTATAGCTCGTGGCAGCCGTCAAAGTCAAACCCCTTGATGTTCGACCGCCACGACAGCTTAAAGCTGTCTAGTCAACCCCTCTGCACAGGGTGCAGAAGAAGGTGTGGTCGTCGACCGCGCATGACGTTTGTCTAGCGTCGAGAGATTAACCCTCAAGGCGCATGTCATCCGACACTTGAGTGTCAAACGCGACCCTCGCGATTAACGGGGACCGCGTGAGTATGGGTACCACATAGTACGCCTTCATTGCGCTTGCTTGCGCACGTTTGCATTGCGAGTCGATATGCGATAGCGCTGCGTCCGCACGATTTTATATTAAGTCTCGCGCGCGACGCTTATCCGATTTTCCGTATCAGGAAGTTATGGGGCGGCTACCGAGGGGCTAGGAGCGTTGTCGAGTTGTTTATATTGTGTTGCCTCGTATGTGTGTGTGTGGGTTTTATTTTTGTGTTCGTAAAGTGGTGTGCGCGTGGTGTGTGGGATGCGTTCTAGTCGACTGACGACGAGCCGCGCTTGAGACTTGAGCCCCCCATGATGCCGGTTTGCATGCGGGCTTGATTGAGGCGTATTACCACACGTACCCCCTATGCTACAGCGAGTGAGAAACACCCTCGGCTGATCCACCTCTGCGATTGCAACCTTTCGTACAGTGGACTGGTAGCTCGGCGGGGATACGCCCACCGAAGGGAGGTGACAGCTCCCGTAAGGTGTAGGTACGTTGTGCCTCGCGTAGGCCCTATCTTGTCATAGGGGCTTGCGAGAGGTATGGCTGGCGCACTCGGCCGGAGCGGCTTTTTGGAAGCTCCATGTGTATTCGCGACAAAAGATTTAAAACCAACTCCTGCGTGACGCGGCTGGGAGGGTCCGGCGCTGCCCTGGTGCTGTGCCGGACCGATGCGCCCGACAGGTGGCGCCGTTGCCGGGGATAACAGAAAACCTGCCGTTGTCCCTGGTGAAACGACATCCGGGTATGAGAAGTGAATGAGAAAAGGCATAAAGGAATGATGAGAAGGTAAGGAGAAAAATAATGAGTGACTAAGTGTAGATGAGAAAGTTTACCTGCCCGAGTTAGGGAAAATTATGAAGGGCAACTGTGCTAGTATTGAGTAAAGTATGTAGTAAGAGTTGGGTAAAACGGGTGGAATAGACCGGTCAAGGTGTAATGTTGAATAAGAGAATGTGTTTGTTTTTCTCTTGTCAGGGAGCTTGAAAAGAAGAGGCTGTCAAGATGCCTAAAGCTGGTGGCGCTTCGGGTGCTCCCAAGAAGGGTCTGACGCTCGATGACCTCATCGCGGCCATTGACCGGCATGAAAGGAACCTGAGCAATATTCCTAAGGTCGACAAGTTCCATTTTTGTGGAGAGAGAGTCTCAGAATGGCTGGAGCGGGTGGAACAAGCTTTGGTCGGGCGGCCGGACGTTGTAAAGTTTCAACGCATCCTTCAGTATGTCCTCCACAGCTACCATCAAGAGGTGAAAGCATTTTCGCTTAGCCTATCGGACGTCGGAAAGGCCATGGACTTGGTGGCCTCACATGAGATGGCGGATCCGGATGCCATCCAGGCCTTGAGGGAGCAAGTTCTGGAATGCCCCGAGGCTGGGAGATTGGAGCTGGTCTATCGTCTTCCGGACGGAACGAGGAATCCCGCGTCCGCGCAGGCGAAATCTGTGAGCCGGCCTTTTTTAGGGGACGACTCAAGCAGGGTTCCCAAAGGCTGTACAAGACGGTAGACAAGAAGTGCCACCCGGTTCCCGTCCTCGTTGCAGAGGACGAGGAAGCATATTACGAGAGGGAACGAGGGTTGATACGACTTTAGCAAGACCATGTCGTATCAACGAAGGGAATGAAGGGGAGTTGATTATAGGGGAGCCCGACTTCCTATTGCCTCAGGAACGGACATTGATGGTGGAGTTGATGAAAATGAGGCATCGCGCCTATGCGTTTACTGACGAGGGGCGTGACAGGCTGGATGTGGACAAAATACATATGATCCGCATCCACACTGTGCCACACGGGCCTTGGAACATGAGAGGGATGCGATATCCTAATCCTGACGAGGAGAAGAAGGTGGTGGATTACCTCGACGGCAAGATACGTACGCACGTCGCCGATTATTCGAGTGAACCGTATGCGTCCCCGTGGTTCTGCTTCATCAAACCTAACGGGACGCTGCGGTGGGTGCAAGATTTGCAGAGGCTGAATGCGGTAACCGTGCGGGGTGCTGGTGGACTGCCAAATGCGGATGCTCTGTCAGAATCCTATGCTGGAAGACCTATAATCTCACTTATAGACCTTTACTCAGGATATGATCAGTTTCCAGTCTACCTGCCGGATAGGCCGGTGACGGCTATGCACACGCCACGAGGATTAATCCACATGAATGTGGCCCCACAAGGGTGGACCAACGCGGTAGCAATGGTCCAACGGGCCATGATTCGTGTTATGCAGTCAGTCAGCCCTCATATCACACAACCATACATCGATGATTCGGCAGTGAAGGGGCCGGCAGTGAAGGAGAGCGACGAAGTCTCGCCAGGGGTAAGGCGCTTTGTTTGGAAGCATATCCAGGTACTGAGCCTGCTCGAGGAGCATAACCTCACAGCGAGCGGGGCCAAATCCAGACACTGCATGAGGGAAGCGACTATCTTGGGGTTCGTCTGCAGCGAGAGGGGCCGAAGGCCGGATGTAAAAAAAACGGACAAGGTTACTGGGTGGCCAATTCCTTTCCACTCAATAACTGATGTCAGGAGCTTTATTGGTACGTGTGGATTTCGGAGGGCCTTCGTCAAGAACTTCGCTGCTAAGACTGAGCACCTGAGGAAGCTAGTCCGTCAGGATCAAGAGTGGGTTTGGGGTGAAGAGCAAGAAGAGGTAGTGACAAGAATGAAAGAGGAATTTCGAGAGGGAGGGTTGGCGTTAGGAGCGCCAGATTATGATGCCACGGAAACGCGACCCTTCATTGTTGAAACAGATGTGGGGCCAACTGCCTTAGGAGGAATTCTAATTTGGCAGACGTGGAAGGAAAGGAAAGGCCCTTGCGATTTGAGAGCCGAACTCTCTGTACGACAGAAAGAAACCACTCTCATATTAAAAGGGAGACTCTTGCTGTCCTCCATTGTCTACGAATCTTCTGGAACTACATCTTCGGCATGAGGTTTATTTTGAGTGAAGACCTGACCGCCCTGGCCTACTCTCTGAGGAATTACGTTCCATCGGATCCGACGGTTCCCAGATGACTGACGTACATCTGAATGTTTAACTTCGAGTTGGAGCGGATTCCGGGCAGCAAGAACCGGACAGACGGGCTGAGTCGGATCAACTGGGATAAACAGGAAGGGGAGGCGGTGGAGAATACGCCCCCCGTTTATGGATTTCTGGACCAGGAAGAAGATGTCCGTCTCCATATCAACAAGTGGTCGCCGCGGGTGCCTAGCTGTGTGGGCTATCCTATTTGGCAAGCGCCGAGTGGATACGAGAGGAGGGCAGAGCTAGTCCTCAAACCCTTTGAAGAAGAAGATCCTTGGGGAGGTAAGGATATTCAGTGGATGATGGAGTTGGCGTTGGCCAGTAAGCATAGTCTTGTGGAAGACATAAGGACGATCCAGGAAGGACCAGGCCAAGTAGAACGGCATGAGGATCTGATGGGAGGAATGTATCTCCTCGTCAACACGCTATTGCAGGAAAGCCTCGACCAGTCAAGCTCGTTGAACCCGATAGGGAATGTGGACGAAGTGCCCGAGAGCCAGGACGACGAGTTCGAGGAGGGGGAAATTAAGGATGTCTTTCGCGCAGAAGAGTATGATGAAATTTACCTAGAGCTGGGGCTTCTCTTGTCTTGCGAGATGCGGCTAAGGGATACAAGCGATAGGGCTCAGAGGATGTTGCAGCGCTACTTAGTGCGAGACGATCACCTTTTCGTAAGAAGAGAAGTGGGAAATCCCAAGAGAGTCGTCTGCGGTAGGAACTGCCAGATTGACGTCGTAGCAGCACTTCATGATGGCATTGCAGGAGGGCATCGAGGGGTACAAGCCACGTATGCCAAGATAAGTGAGCTGTACTACTAAGATGGGATGATGGACATGGTCAAAAAATTTTGTCGATCCTGCGTACCCTGCCAGGAGAGATCCCGTTTAAGGCAAAGAGAGCCGCTGCATCTAAGGTTAGAGCGAGATAGAGGGGCTGTGGTGCATCTCGTTCTACTTTTTATGCCGCTTGGGGATCAGGGCTATAACTATATCTTCGATGCGCGCGATAACCTGTCTGGCTTCGTAGACGGGCATGCTATTCGCACAAAGACCGGGTCAGTCTTAGTGAGCTGCATCGAGGAATATTACCTGCGCTATCCTTTCGTCAAGGAATTCGTAATAGACAGGGGATCAAAGTTTACCTGCCAGGAGGTGCAAAAATTGTTATCAAGGTACGGTGTAGCAACCAACTACACCACGGCCGCACACCCCCAAGCAAACGCTCCGGTGGAAAGAGGGCACAATACCATTACGAGTCTCCTGGCTACGTGGACCGAAGGGAGACCTAATCAATGGCCAAGGTACCTAGGGGCGACATTCTTTGTCGAGAACATTACAGTAAAAAGATCCACCAAGTACGCGCGTGCGACGCTGTGGTATGGAAGACACGTCACCTTCCCTATCGAGGTTTTCTTTAAACTTGGAGGCGCCAGGATTTGAGAGTCGACCTGTCCTTTGAGGAATTGCTCGATATTCGTGCGCGACAGATAGGAGCGATAGAGGAAAGGATCCAGGAAGCGTCCGATCAAGTGGCTAGAAGTCGTATGGATGATAAGCCTCAATGGGATCAGTCTGCTCGGGTGATGAAAATACCTCTGGCAGTTGGGGACGTTGTGCTTCTCTACGATTCATCGCTGGAAAAACAGTGGTCCACGAAACTTGATAAGAGGTGGTTAGGTCCCCACTGGATCGCACGAGTTGGAGACTTCAGGGCGTACCAGATTGAGGAGTTGAATGAGACTGGGTGGAAGGATTGGGTATCTGGAACGCGATTGAAGAAATTCGTGGCGAGAGTAGAGGTAAGAAAGATGACCGGACTGCCTTTAGAGTAGAAGTAACAGGGTGTGTAGGTCAGGTAGGATGCATGCTGCATGAATGTGGTCTCGTCTAAGCTTGCTTTGAATATCACCTGTTTGCTTACCCTAATGTGTGCCTCTTGTCTCCTTCGCCTGTTGTGCAGGTCTGACTTTACGAAGACAGCCATGCCAAGAGGAGGGAAGGGGACACGGCCGCCTCAAAGGCCGTTGGGAGCATCAGGAGGATATGAGCGGCATGGGCTTCGCTATCGAGAGAGTACTCCGGTGTACGATGATGGGGACATCGAGCTATTCCTGGACAACTTTTGGGATCATGCGAGGCGTATGGGCTAGACCGTAGCCCAGGCGATTGAGAGACTGAGGGGAGCAGGCAGATTCGAGGAGCCTGTCGCGCGGATCCGTAGGGAGGCGATGACGAGATCAGAGGTGGAGTGGAGGATAAAGGAGCTGCGACCCTCACCTGTGGGACCTGATGGCAAGACGATCCGCCTGGAGATTGGAAATGCGTCGGACTTCATCCCTGCGTTTGAGTGGTTCATGAAGGGACAGGGCATACCGAGAGATGATTGGATGCAGACGCTACCACTCTGGACCAGGAAGGCGGAAAGGCCACTGGCTAGCCAAGTCAGAAGCATGGCCCAAGACTGGGAGAGTTGCAGGGCACATCTTGGAGAGGCCTTTCGACGGCCAGAGCCCCCTCAGCCCAGGGTTGAGAGGCGTCAGAGGAGTCAGAGGCAGAGGGACCCTTAGCCAAGGGAGGCGAGACTATCTCGAGGAGGACGAAAGGCCCTAGCTAGGAGAGAGGAGCGAGAGCCAGAGGCTGAGAAGCGAGGCGCGTACCCTGTGTACGAGTTGGGACCAGTGAGGTTCCATCGTTTTGCCGAAGGTGAATTGAGGAGGTTGCCAGCACACACACAGGAGGGGCCGCCAACGTCTGAGAAGCCTTTGAGGGAGTTGGAGGTGCACTAGGATATCTCTCAGTGGAGAGCGTCGCCTCGGGGTGAGGAGCGTGGAAGGCAGGCAGAGGAGGTGCCACGAGAGGAGGTGCCACGAGAGGAGGTGCCGCAGGAGGAGGTCCAGGACACTCAGCGAGAGAGAGGGTTGGACGATGAGGGGAGACGTGCAGGGAAGGAAGTGATAGAGGTTGGAGAAGACACGCCCCCTCAGACGCGAGCGGTGGGTTTGAGACTCGGGGATGCACCGGGGAACACTCGCCAGGTAGGGGAGGGGTTGCAGAGAGAGGAGGCCCCATTACCTTCATCAGAAAAGGCTTCTTCACTAGAAGAGAGAGCAGAAAGGAGGAGAGAGAGGGAAGCTGTAAGGAGAGAAGCCTTGACCCTGATTGACAGACACCTAGCAGCTCATGCCCTGGAGCACCCAGACCTGGAAGAGCCAACACCTGCAGAGCCGCGCAAGGAGCCGTGCCAGCCCGAGAAGGAGATGGAGGCAGAGATCCCGAAGAGGGTTGACCTCCGCACGAGGGAAACGGCGCCAACTGGAGAGACAATTGAGGAAAAGAGGGCGAGAAGAACCAGGAGGATAGACGAGATATGGCAAGAGAGGCAGAGGTTGGAGGCAGCGGGGGAGCTTCCGGAGCAGCAGCAGAAAAGGCAGAGATCGAAGGCAGCAGGAGCACTCTCAGGTTAGCCACCCAGCGCGCTATCTAGGGCCCCGGAGATCCCTGAGATGTGAAGGGACTTCTGGAAGCAGAGAGGATAGGAGCTTCCTTCGCCAGTCAGAGTCGGGCTTAGGGTGGGAAGGAAGGCTGAAGAAAGGTTGGATCGCAAAATCAAGTTCCTGGCCAAGGCAACTTTTGACCGGCACTTGCTATTGGAGAGCAATCTGGCAGGAAAGAAGATAAAGGAAGCAGGCCATGGGGTACGCCTGGAGGCTATGGAGGTGGAAATCCAAGAACTAAGGGCATTGGTGTCCAGTCAGGCAGCTATCATCGAGAGCCTAAGACAACGATCTCAGGGAGAGGTGGACAAGCCAGAGAGCAGCCGACAGGGAGAGCAGAGCCAACCAGGACATGGTTTGCCAGGACAACCATCTGCAGCAGAGACTAGCCAGGAGCCACCTATAGGGAGAGTCATCCTAGAAGCAGAGAAGACGAGAGCTCAGAGGGAGGGGAGAGCTAAGAGGGAGGCAGAGAGAGAGGCCTTCGAGTTCAGAGCCCCTACTGAGCTCGCAACGCTACCTATAGCAGCGGCGGGCCCAGTCATACCTTTGGCAGATGAGGAGGGATTACCACCATCCAGCAGTGAGCCGGCTCAGGGCTCGGCAGCGGGATCTATGGATGTGCTCATCGAGGCGGTGCACTCGATGCAGGAGGAGGTGAGTTTGTTTTCACCCGAGCGGAGGATAGAGGAGCCTCTTAAAAGGGAGATGAGGATTGAGGCTGAGGGTGTCATCGAGGGCGGGCTCCAGAGGTTGGGCACGCCTGAGTATGGGCCAGAGGGGATTGAGGACCGACCTGGACCGAGTACCTAAGAGTTGGAGACACGAGAGGAGCCCTTGGATATGCCTCAGAGCCATGAGTTGAGCAGGGAGGCAAGCGAAGCACCATCGTCGCGAGGGTCTCACAGGGGAAAGAAGAGGTCCAGGAAGGGGTTCGATACGTTCTGTTTCTTCTGTACAAAGGAGGGGCATCGAGCCTTGCAGTGTCCTAAGTTCCTGAAAACCAAGGCTGAAGGGAAGGTAACAGAGGAAGGGGGCAGGATGTATGATAGACAGGGCAGGAGAGTAGAGAGATCTGCAGATGGGGGTAGGGCTCAGCTATATAGGCAAAACCAGGAGAAGATGAACGACCAGGACTGAGTTTTCCTGTATGGTTGACATGTTACGTGTAGGACTAGAGTTAGGATTGGATGACATTCTGTAGACTTAGGTGTTGTTTGCTTTTGTTAGGCAGTTTGGGTTGGGTTCTTGTTGAGTCTGCCATCTTGAGGATCAGGACATGGTAGATGAGGCCTGTACATACTTAGGTAGCCTACGCCCTGATCTTCGAGAGACAGACCCAACTTGTGCTTTGAGGACGGCATCAGTGTGAGTGTGGTTTTGAGTGAGTTGAGTGGGTTACGATCTCGGGACTTTTGTATATGGGGCATTCTGCCCCTGAGTGTATATTGGAGGCATTTCGTATGGGATATTTTACCCCTGAGTGTACATTATATCGAGATTTGTTTTTTTTTAAGACTACTTGTTGTACATGACGATTACTGTCACACTCACTTGTGTGGTCCTGGTTTGATGAATGATGGTTTGGTATGAAATATGCGCGAGAAAATGCTTGATGTGCTTTGTATTTTGTGAATCAGGACGAAAGTGAACTGTCTACTCACCGGTATACTCGTGCGGCCTGCCCTTCGGCGGATGAGAGGGCCGAGTCTAAGGCAAGGAAGCACAGTCCGTTTTGTGAAAGGATGTGAAGATCCTGAATATTTGTTTGGTGAGTGTTCTATTGTTGAGCTATGCAGAAGACCCACAAATTGGTCTTTTTTATGCAGTATATGATGAGTGGGACACCTGTGAATTGAAAGGTTGTCCATTATCTATTTGGAAGATACATCTTCAGAGAGGGAAGATGCGTTAAAGAAAAGGTCGCGAGAGAGGTCATCCTAGTGAGAGGGGGATGACTGAGAGACCTAATAAAGTGAGACCTCCTCTATAAATAAGGTGGTTAATAAGATTGATTAATGAAAGTTTGACTTTGAGTAATAAAAAACTGACGAGAGTGACCAAATTTTTGTTGGACTATTGGTGAATTTATTGGATGTCGCAAATGGTGTGTTTTAAGAGATATCATCAAGATGCGTGACTTTCTTGCTCTGATCAAGTTGGGAGGCCACAGCCTTGTGGATCAGACGGTGATTTTGTCTTGTGATTGTGGAGAGGTTGTCGTGCTCCCTCTGTGTTGTCCCACAAAGGAACTGGTAAATAACTTTTTATGTGCGACAGGTCTATGCGTAGTCCCGCAGTAGGCTTGTATTGTTGCGACACACCGTCTGACCGCTTGTGCTAATCTTGGACATTTATAAGAGATCCAGCTAGGGGTATAACTAGCATAACTAAGGCTCAACCCTTAGTGTTGGCCGCTGTTTGGCACAACCAGAGCAGAGAGTCTGCGTCTGACCAAGGAAGTAAAGACTTAAAGGGACGTGAACGCCTAGGAGGGCTTTGCTCTTGCGGAGAGGCGTAGGATAAGAGTCGATCCATATGAGTCTTTTGAGGAAGTACTGATTGAATGCTTATCAGGAACAACCTATCGTGGCGCAACCCGCGAAGGCACTACCGTTGAAATAACAATGCGGTGGGCCGTAGATCTGGAATGATCACCCAGACTATGGTGGGCCAAGATGGAGACCTGGTCTTCCTGTACTAGACTGCATGAGAGCTTATGTGAGAATCTATGTAGTACGACTACGTGTGTTAATGTGAAGATTTTTTTAGAGGAAGGCGAAAGAATGCCTTCGAAGGTCTTGGTTAGGGCCCGCGCCCCTAGTCATGACTTAATTTCAAGGGAAAGAGCTAGAGGCACACAACGAGAAGCTGACGGCTATCTAGGGCACAATGAAGAGGACAGTGAGAGATCCAATGCAACTTATGCTGTAGTACAATGAGGAGTATTCTGACGTTCGAGTGTCAAGGCGACGGAGACCCAGGTTAGAATCCTGGCAGCATAAAGTTGTATTTGGCATGAATTATTGGAGGCCTCAACCCTAGGTCGATCGGCTGATCGGATTGGTACCCTGCTCGTCAGCATTTTGAGATTGTGATTGAATTGATAGCTTTTGATCTTGCGAAGCGACGAGGACGTCGCTTAATATGGTCCGGTAAGTTGTCGGTGCGAATACCCTTACAAGGGTATCCGCCCTGGTCTTTGCAAACAACAGAAAGCAGTTTGGTTTAAAGTTTAAGTATGTCGCGCTAGGCGCGGCCGCGTCCGTAATTTATGTTGACTAGATGGTTGACGAGAGTACTAAAAGAGTGCGTGGGCGCACAAGCTTGAGGCGCGCGTGATTTTCCCTTCCTTTGGTTACACTAGCAGACGTGGCGCGGACATCGGTTGGCGCGCTCCATTATAACAATTGTTTTGTTTCGACCAAGCTGACTAACCTATGGGCGCTTTTATCTGGTTCCGCGTGGAACGATGGACGGGTCAGTGAGCGAGTGTGGCCTTACGCGGCATCCAAATGATGAGACCTGATGGATTCGGTCGGGTAAGGGTAGCCGCAGCACAGCCAGGAGGTTGGCGCGGCTTTGTATGGTCATATGTGTGAGTGCGGGTCAGGGAATGGCGTGGAGCGGCTCCTTTGACCGCAAAAGGTCGGGGGCTACCTCTTTATTAGGTGACTCAGACCTGTTGGTATCAGGCTTGGGCTTAGCCCTATAGGTTACAGCACCAGACTGATACGCACCAAACGCAGGGATCGAGGCCAACGGCATGCGACAAGGGAGCGGAAGAGCGCGGCGAAAAGGCTTGAGGGGTTGATGGGCTTGAAGAGCTATCCCCCTCGCCTTTTGCTGCCGCGGGGCCAAGCGTGGGGCTGACGGGCAGGGAAGGAGGGGTGAGATGGTCCCTGTCAGGTTACCGCCCGCTTTTTTTTTTTTTTTTTTTTTTTTTCCGCCCGCTTTTTTTTTTTTTTTTTTTTTTAGTTATTACTAAGTATTGCGCCTGTATGTGGACGCAAAGACACAGCAGAAGCACGCCATTGGACTTTTGAAAAACAAATCTCAGTTCGGAGTCAGATGGCGGAATCTAATGAGTAAGGCTTAATAATCCGAATTGCCGGTGGCCGGTCGTCCCCGCGGCCCCGGTTGTATCCTTCGAGGGCATCTATAAAAATTGGAATGGTACAGCGAAGATTAGCTTGACCGTTGCATGCCGGCTGGTACCCACCGGTTTGGAAGGGGAACCCGGACGGAAAAGGGGGGGCGGATACAGGCGAAGAGGCAGAAAAAAGGGGCGAGGTCCGAGCGGCCTTTGGAGGTGCTGCGAGGCGCCGTCCGCTAGGGGGAAAGTCCTTCGGGACATCCGTTAAAATTTGGAACTATACAGAGAAAGACTAGCGTGGCCCCCTGCGCAGTGCCGACACGTATAAAGATCGCGGGATGGTCCGAACACCCGCGGTTGTTATAATTTTTTTTTATGAGCACCTCCTCCTCTTTGAAATAGCGTTTTGAACGCGCGGATGAGGGATAGCGCTGCGAGGCGGTGGTCGCGCTGTGACAGGAGGAGACGAGGGAGGAAGAAATCGTGGTGAGGAAAGTGGACGATTGAGCATCTTCAATCGGCCGCTGACCGGCGCGATACCAGTCCCAGAGGGCCCCGAAGGAAGAGAGTGACGGAGCGGGTGCAACGGGCAGCGGGGGTTGACAGAGGGAGATGAACCTGACCCGGGTCGCCGCCCGGGTGCATTCGGGAGGGATGAACGACGCAAAGGGCAGACATTGAGCGGGTGGGCGCTGAGAGCGGAAGTTGGGTCAGGATAAGGGGAGGAGCCCGACGCAGCGCTAGTGACAAGAAGGGAAGGCAAGGAGGCTGGCGAGCAACGCAGTATAGCAAAAGCAAGTGAACCTAGCCGAGGACCCGAGCCAGGTGCATGCACGTTAGAAGACTGAAGGTGACGGGGAGGTAGGTGAGGCGCAGTGGAAAAAGGACGACTTACGCGATTTAGAGCGGGATTAGGCAGCGAGGGAGTTGAATCCGGGGTTATGATCCTGGGTGGATCGATCGGGGAGGTTAGTTTTGGAATTAGTAGAGTAGGTTTGGAATTAGCACGAAAAGAAACGTGCGCGGTGATAACGAGAAAGAAGCGATGGTGGGATCGAAAGTCGGAGCTCTCGGCCATTACTAAGTAAAAACAGGCCGGGGGAAATGCTCAACAGGGGTTTTCGGGGTGGGCGACCCCGAATATGCAGTCAGTTTTAGTGCTAAGTTAGTGTAGTAAGAGTTAGCAGGAAGAAACTGTGCGCGGAGGCGATTGCGGGAGAAAATATTAGTGATGGGGGGGGAAAGCTCGGAATCCCGCTCGATTCTTAATGGATTCGAGTGGGATGAGATGTGAGACTGGGGTTTGAGAATGAGGAAAGTCGAATGGTAGTGTCAGATTTAGAGTTTAGTGGTTAGTTCTTGGGATCGTTGGGTAGGAAGTTGCGCCCGGGAGGAGGCCGTAAAAATGAAAAATGAATCTACCCGCGTCCTAGCGGGAGATTCATTCCTACCTTGTTCACTCTATGGATCGAAGTCGGGAAGCGGGCTGGTCGTGATGTTGGAGGCTTACCTGGTACGTAAAAGCGGGGGAGGGGGCCGGGTTGCTGTTGCGCAAAGCAATCCGCGTGCACGTGGCGGTCGCGAGCTACTTTCGCCAATTGATCGGCGTGTTGCGGCTCGTCGTCGTCATCCTCACAGCTTCACCTCATAAAAGCCGGCGCCGCTGGTATGGGTAGCCCGTGAGCCAGGGAACGAGGTAAACCATGTTCGGAAAGGGGGATGTCGGGACGTGCGGGGGTATGAACGGGAGAAAGAGTTGTAAAGTGGAGTCAACCGGCCTGCAGTCTTGTGGAAGA